GGCGGCCTGATGCCCTCAGTTGGTCTTTCCTGGGGGCCGGGAGTCCACACCAGCCCTGCTTGGGGTATTTAGCCCACTCAGCTCTGGGTCCTCTGAATCCTTCCTGTAGAATTCCATGGGACCTTGAATTCCAGAGACTGACTTGAAATTGGTACAGTGTAGAGTCTAGCTCCAGATGTGGGGAAGGGGCTAATGAGGGGATGACCTTCTCAGAGCCGCTAGTCTACGAATGGTGGGCGTCAGGCAGGGTCGCTCAAAGGCCCGGATCACCTGCATGAGATTCCATCCCTGCCACCCCCCGGCCCCCCGATACTGTGGGTTGCAGCCTCCAGCACTGCGTGGTGCAGTTCGCTATCCTGTCCCTCCAAAAGAAGGATGGAGGATGAAGGGGAGGATGGAGTGGGAGGAGTAAGAGGGTGTAGTGGGGGGGAGCCAGAGGGTTTGGCGGGGGGCGGGGGTGGGTTCGGAGGATGGAGTGGGGGGAGGGCACCTGTTGTGGCTGGTTCTAGTCCCCTGTGCCGAGTGCAGAAGGTGGGTTTATTAGGTGGTTCCACAAAGCTGAGCCCTTGTGACGAGGACCGAAGGGAAATGGGGTACCAGGGCCGGTTTGCAGCAATCCAAGCACAAGGTCCCGTGGACAGTCGAGGGGTGTAAGCTTGGCCCGTGAGCCTGGAAGAGTCCGTTGGGCAGGAACTGGCCGGTCTTGGTTTGGGTCAGCTCTGCTCACGGAGAGGGCCAGAGAGAGTATGGAGGGTCAAGTGCTTCCCTTGCACGCAGCCAGCCCGGGTTCTGTCCCCGGCCCTGTCTAGCATCCTCCGAGCACTGCCAGGAGGAAGCTCTGAGCACAGCTGGGTGGGGCCCAAAACAAATCTAAAAATTAAATTGAGATGGGGCTAGGGATCTAGTACAGGTGGTAGAGCACTTGCCTTGCACCTACTCACCAGGGTTCGATCCCTGGCATCCCATATGGTCCCCCCACACACCACCAGGAGCGTCGCCATGTATGCCCCCCCCCCAAAAAAAAAAAGAAAAGAAAGCAAAACCAGAAACCAGTTGAGCTGAGCAGAGGCTGGGGCGAGCCCAAAGACTGGAGAAGGTATTTTGGGCTGGATACTTGGCACTGCTGGAAGCGCCCCCAAGCATCCTGAGTTAGAGACCCCGAAACTCTCAAGGCGTTCTGCCTCACAGCGGCCTGTGTCTACCTGCTGTGTGGAACAGTCTTCTACATGTGGGGGCGCCTGGTGGTGCTGGGGGGCTCAGGGGCGCCACTAGTGATTCTCAGCCGTGGGCCAGTGGTTGGGCGCAGGGGTCCAAGGGGGTGGCGTATGAGCCCTGTGGTGTTGGGGACACCCGCGCCGTTCCTGCAGTGCCCGGAAGGAGTTGGGGTCAGACACCCCCGCCGCAGAACTGTCCCTGCCCCTGGGTTCTTAGACTTCATTGAAATAGGCGGTTTAGAACTCCGGAGCCTTTTCCTGATTCCTTTGTTCTCCGCCCAGTGACGCCGCCCGGAGGAGCAGGATCTGGACACAGGCCGCTGTCGAAGCGCGCGGGTCCTGGGCACAGGGCAGTGGGCCGGCACTCGCCTTCCATGCACCTGCCCCTGAGGCCGCAGAGCCACCAGGAGTGATCCCCGGGCACCACCAGCCGTGGACCAAAACCTGGAACCAGAACCCAAAGCGGTCTCCCCAGGGACTTACGGGAGGTCGGTCTCCCTCCCTTGATTCTGTCCAGCGCTGTGCCCGGTGGATCTTTCCCGGTTCCCTCGGACTCTCCTCCTGTCCCCTCTGGTTCTTTTCCTGTTCCCTCCGCTCGCGTGTGCTGTCTTGCCGAGAAGCGTTAGTGTCCAAGCACACTGTTGTGCTGTTTCGCTTTTGCCTCAGGGCCAGAGGTAGTGGCACACGACGCTTACGAGCAGCTTGCCCACCCTCGCGGACCGTGTGGTACCAGGGGCTGACCCTGAGCTGGCTGTGAGCACGGCAAGTGCGCCCTCCCTGTTCTCTCGCCGGCCCCTGGAAACATACCGATCGGTCGCTGTTAGAAGTGGTGTCCTGTGCGTGGTTGTGCTTGCGATGGGTTTCCTTAAGGAAGCAACTGCTCTGCCTTCTCTCTAGGGGGGAGAGTGGAGAGCCCGCTGCCAGGCGGTGGGAGTCTGCGGAAAGCCCCCTGCCGCCCCCGCGGCTCGTGCCTGAGCAGGACCGTCTCCGGGGGAGGTTTCGAGAGCCTTGTTTCTGGGCCACACTCGGCAGCGCTCAGGAACCAGGAGGGCGAGGGGGGAGTGCGGGGGGTGGGCCCTGCATGCAGTGCCAGGGATCAAGCCCAGGTTGGTCTCATGCGAGCTGTACAGTCTCACTGCACTCTCTTAATTCACTTTAAAAGCTTCAGAACTAGTTTCTATTGGATGGTTTAAATCACAGCCTCATTTTTGGACTTAGCATCGCAGGTCTCTTGTAGTTACTGTGCTTGGTACAGAGGTTAGCGAAAGTGCTTGCCATCAGAGGTCTTAGTCACGTAGGAGGTTCCTGTAGGACTCTTGGAACCAAGCTCGGCTCACCGACCTGTGTCCCCGGTAACTGAGCAGGAGAGAATAAAGGGAGCGTGGCCTGGGGCACCGCCTCTTTCCCAAGGGCTCTTTGCCTTGCTTGGCGTGACCCTGAGTTCCATGCATCGCGGAAAAGCAGAATAAAAATTATGCTCTGAGTCCTTTGCTTATTTGGGAGGAGAGAGGACGCACGCGGTGGGGGGGGGGGGTGCTCGGGGACTACTCGTGGTCCTGCGCTCGGAAATGACTTCCGCTGGGCTTGGAAGACCATCCGGGGTGCCAGGGATGGGACCCGGGTCGCCTTGCTGCTGTGTTCTCATGCTGGCCCTGAGTCCTCTGCTTTTCTCCTAACTATAAGTTTTGGATATTTTATTAGTAACGTGTGGCTTAATACTTAATTTGATAAAATTTAATCATTGAAAACTTTCAGCTTTTAGCAACATATCAAAAGTTTTACCTGTTCTTTCCCGTTACTAAGCATTTCTCTGAATTTAATTAAAAAATAAAAATCAAGTGATTGGTGTAATAAAACTATTTAAATATAAAGGAATGAGGCGAGAAATGGTGCCTGGGGAGGGCCCCGGAGAGATCTCGGGTGTGGGGCGCTGGCCTTGCGTGCGCTGTCCGTGGTCTGACCCTGGCACCGAGTCCCCTCCTGAGCACAGCTGGGTGTAGCCTGAAAATTGGGGGGTTTCCATTGAGGGCTGGAGAGATGGCCTGCTGGCCGACTGCATGCCTGGCCTGAGGCACATCCCGACCCCTTTCGTCCCCTGAACACTGCTAGATGTGACCCCCGAATGAAATATTTTGTGTTTTCTGGGGGGGGGCATACCTGGCGATGCACTGTCAGGAATCACTCCTGGCCGCGCTCGGGGGACCCTATGGGGTGCCGGGAATGAACCTGCGTGTAAGGCAAGTGCCCTCCCCGCTGTGCTCTCTCGGTCCCTGAAATGGAGTATTCTAGTATGGACAACTAGGTCACACCTTTTGGCCAAGCACGTGTCACACGTTCTCCCCACACTGTGAACTCCGCCAGAATCTCTGGGCTACAAGTTGGAGTACAGTTTGTTTTGTATTTGTGCTTTGTGCCCATGAAGGCACGTCCAGGGGCGCGTGTGAATACCCGTATAGCACGTCAGCACATCACTGAGGGTGCCGGCGAGTGAAAGGTTGGGGAACTTGACCTTCGTGGGGAACAAGGCCCCCGGCAGCTGTGTGTGGGGCCTCCAGCCTGTGGCTGCAGTTCCTCCCGCGAGGCCCCTGGGCAGCAGTGTGTGCGGCCTCCGGCGTGTGGCCACAGTTCCTCCCGCGAGGCCCCTGGGCGGCCGTGTGGCTGCGCTTGGACCTTCAAGGCCGTTCGCTCTAGAGGTCCCTGTGCCTGTTCTTTTTCAGGGGATGTTGGTGATTTGGGGGCCACGCTTTGCAGTGCTCAGTGTGGCTCTGCGCTCAGGGATAATTCTGGTGGGGCTTGGGAAAGATTTGGGGTGCCGGAGATTGACGCTGGGCCAGCCCCATGCGAGGCCAGTGGTCTCTCCGCTCTCCTGTCGCTCTGCCCTCCTGGAGCTTCCCAGTCTGACGACCTGCTGATGTGCTCCCAGAGCCCATAGTGCTCCCGGGTGCACGCTGCGGCCCTTTCCTCCCGGGGCCTGAGGAGACCCAGTGCCCATCGCTGTCCACGTCATTGGGTTGCTAGACTCGGCTCCTCAGGAGCCAGGCAGGGGGAACGCCTCCCTAGGAGCACGAAACAGTAACTCAGTTTGTGGCGTCCCCGAGGCAGTGTGACTGTGGACAGAGCTTGGCTTAGCTGACTCTCCTTCTTCCAACAAACAGAGAACTCGTAGTTTGCTCCGAGTTAACAGAAAGTCACCGAAAGGCGTGTGACTGGCGATACCCGAGAGCCAGATAAGCTGCCACGCCTTGCGCTTGGTGTGATCCCAGCACACCAGGTGTGTGAGAGAAGAGTGTGCGTGGAGCCGATGACGCAGCCTGGCCCTGGACGCCGGCGTAACCCGGGGCAGAAGTGACTCTTCTGGGAGAGCGTCCCCGGCTGTGCCGGGCAGGGGCCTCCAGGCCAGGTCATCTGCTCAGGCCCTCCAGTGCCGGGATCTCTAGGGCCAGCCCTGGTCCAGGGCCATTGCAACCATGCCCAGCAGTGCTCGGGAGTCCTGTGGCCTGGGCGTTGATCTGGAGTCCTGTGCATCTAAGGGCCTCGTGTGTTATCTTCCTGCCCAAGGAAAATTCTTAGCAAATGGAGGGGAAGGTTGATTGAAAGGTTTCTTGCACGCTGCTGTCCGCTGGCCACCGTGGAGAGTAAGAGAGGGCCTGACCGCTGGGGACGCTGCTGGCGAGGGGTGGAAACGGTCGTGACTCCTAATGATTTTCTCTTCTCAGTGCCTTCTGTCCGACGGTCTCTGATGCACTTGTCTCCCCGTTTTGTTTTCCCTGTTTTTGTTCCTGTTAGGAGAGGACGTTGCTTATTCTCTGAGCTATCCGAAGAGAGTGACTAAATGCACCTGGGTCAGGCGGTCTGCGGGTATGAAGTGGTTGGGAGAATCCAAGAACATGGTGGTGAGTGGCAGGAGGAGTGGAGGCGAGTTGTCTAATGGCCACCAGCAGAACCGGTCCAAGGCGCAGCACGCGGGGAAGGACTCCGTGAAGGCGGGCAAAGCCGCGGTCGAGAGGCGCTCGAGCAGATGTAGGTACACCCGACGGGCGCCCCGCCCCGCCCCGCCCCTTCTCCGCTCTCTGGTGTGTGCTCTGGTCGCTGCTGTCTGTGAAATGAGCCTTTGTTTTCCTGGTTAACAGTTTTTTACTGTTCCAAGGTTGTGTCCGTCTTCATTCTCACCGAGCACTGCCTGCGACTCCCGTTTAATGCTTAAAACGAACTCAATCATGCTTCTACATCTGTAACTCTACACTGTGTGGAATTCATACTTGTGGTTATTCTGTTCTATAAAAAGATTAAATTACTGCCCCTGAATTTAAAGTCGAATTGTTGTATTTGGTATTAGCATAAGTAAATTGAAAATTTGAAGAGGCAATACAGAGAATGAAGTCTGTTCTAACATACGTGATCAGTAGAATTTAGAACAGCTTTCACCAATTGTTGCTGTTTTTTTTCTCTCTGTATAGGATAGTCATTTTCCCTGAGAGTAGAGACCGTTGATAAACGGTCACTGTCACCCCCTCACCTCTCAGGACAGATTCAGGTGGTGGTTGGGCATATTATTAAGACGTTATGTTTTTCGTATAGTTCAGTCTTTCCCCTTTTTCATCCTCTTTTTTGATTTTGTTTGGGGGCCACACCCGGATTTGTCCAGGGCCACTCTGGGTTCTGCACTCAGGGATCCCTCCTGTGGGCTTAGGGGGCCGCATGTGGTGCGGGGATCGGACCCAGGCTGGCTGTGCGCGAGGCGAGCCCTCCCCGCTGTGCAGCTGTTGCTCTGGAGCCCCTGGGGCAAAGGGGAACGTGCCCGAGAGACGTGCCAGCGAGTATCTCAGAGCCGTGGAGGGGCTCCGAGGTCACCAGGCATGTCCCACACATGTGCACCCCAGGTCAGTCTCCTGCATCACATACACACACACATGTGAACCCGAGCATGAAGATTGTCCAGATATATTTTACCATGTTAAGGAACAGTTTTTCTCTTTCACAAGGGACAGCGTGTGGGTAACTGGGGTTGGGCCACCCGTGGTCGTAGTACTTAGAGACGCTTCTGACTCTGGGCGCAGGGAACACCCAGGAGAGCGCGTGGAGCCACGCGTGGTGATGGATCAACCTGGGATTGGCCCTGTGAGGCAGGTGCCTTACCCCCGTACCATCTCTGGCCCGATGACAATTTTTTTTTTGCTTTTTTTTCAAGGGGGGGTCACACCTGGCAGTGCACTCAGGAATTACTCCTAGCGGTGCTCAGAGGACCATGTGGGATGCTGGGAATCGAACCCGGGTGAGCCGTGTGCAAGGCAAACGCCCTACCCGCTGTGCTATCGCTCCAGCCCCAACGATAACAATTTTTTTAATTTCCTGCTTTTTTCTTTCTTTATGGGGCTGGAGCGATAGCACAACAGGAAAGCCTGGCAAGCTACCCGTGACGTTAAATAGGCCCAAAACAGTAACAAGTCTCACAATTTGTTGTGAGATGTTACTCGTGCCCGCTCGAGCAAATCAATGAACAACAGGAGAACAGTGCTACAGTCGTACAGTGCTTCTTTCTTTATTATTTTTTTAATTTGCTGCATTTGTTTTTGGGTGACAGTGCTTCGGACTTACACCCTCTGACTGCATTCAGGGGCTCAGGGAACCATGTGGGATGTCGAGGATCGAACCTGGGTCACCACACGCAAGGCGAGGGCCCTTCCCACTGTACTGTGATTCCAACCTCTGCTTTTTTTCTGAGGTTAATTTAGTCTTAGCTTACTTTGAAATCATCTTACTCCTGGTGGATTTAGATTAGCCAGAAGTTGGCTATTATTAGAGATATATTATCCCAGTGCTGTTGTAGCTGATAGATTGTCTCAATTATCCTCACCTTTTGTGGTTTAATGCTTTCTTTGTTAATTTAGTTTTGTTTTGTTTGGGGGCCACACCTGGCAGTGGCTCTGTGCTCAGGCATCATTCAGGGGACCCTGTGCCGTGCTGGCGCTCAAACCCAGGACAGCCACGTGCAAGGCAAACGCCTGCCCGCTCCACGAGCGCTCTGGCCCCTAATTTAAAACAATTTTAATGCTTTTTATTGAGTTCAGGCTGATTGTGACATTTCTTTATAAAAAAGAAAAAGGAAGACAGTCAAACTTGGGCTAGGCATAGAGAGAAAGCCCAGCACCAAAGAGCTGAACAGAAATGTCTTCAGGGAAGATGCTTGAGACCCAGATGCCAGAAAGCATGAGGAAATGCTGCCATCACCTGTCATCAGAGAAACGCATGTCCGTAGGGATCCTCTCACACTGCAGGCCTGACAGGGAACGGGCTGTGCAGCTGTGGAGAACAACACGGACACCCCTCAGTACGGACCACTTGAGCATCCACAGGACCCGAGGTCTAGAAAACTATTCAGAAAAGACATTTGCACGCCAGTGTTCATTGCAGCCCTGTTCGCAGCAGCCGGACTCTGGAAATACCCGCGTGCAAGAAGGGATGACTGGAGGAAGAACTGTGGTCCAGATCCGTAATGGAATAGGGCTCCGCTGCAGGGAAGGATGAAGGCAGCACCATCTGATGGACCTGGAGAACATCTTGCCGGGTGAAGGGAAGAGACGGACACGGACCGTCTCTTCCCCACATGGACCATAGAGAAACGCAGGCGGGGGCTCGCAGGTGTCCACGGGCAGCCGAAACGGAGAGCTGGTCTTCAGCAGGAAGGAACTCACCGGGGGAAGGGAGGGGAGGGCGGTGGCAGGAAGTACACACTCCAGCAAAGGGTGTGCGGCTGAAGTGTGTTGTGCACGAAAGCCTGTCTTTGACAATATTGGGGCCGTGTTCAAGGGTGACTTCTTGCTCTGCGCTCTTGGTGGTGCTTGAGTGACCATATGGGGTGCCGGGGTTGAGTCTGGGTCAGCCGTGGCAGAGGCAAACACCCTACCCGCTGTGCTCTCTCTCTGGCCCTCATATCAATGTGATTGAAGAACAATGATTCCGAAGTTTATTTTAAAAATCTGAAAAGTTGAACCTGTTTTTAACAGACTGGAGAGCTCGTACAGCGGGTAGAGTGCTGGCTTTGCACATGGCGTGCCCGGGTACTATCCCTGGCACTCAGAGCACTGCCAAGAGTGATTCCTGAGCACAGCCAGTTGTGGCCTGGGAAATCCCCCCCCCCAAAAGACAAGGGGTGGTGAGATAAGATCTGTACACACTTGTCATGAGTACTAAGTATGCCATATAAGGTTAATGCAGTCTACTACAGTGTAAGTATGTAACATAAAAAGCATTGCAACAGGACTGGGCGATAGCACAGCAGGTAGGGCGTTTGCCTTGCATGCGTCTGACCCGGGTTCGATTCCCAGCATCCCATATGATCCCCCGAGCACTGTCAGGAGTAATTCCTGAGTGCAGAGCCTGTGCATCGCAGGGTGTGACCCAAAAAGCAAATAGCAAAAAAAAAGTTGCAACAGTAGTCATCTGATACTGTGTAGACCTATCATGAAGAAGCACTTACTATGTACTACGCAGTGTTACATTTCAGATTTGCCCAGAGAAAATAAAAAAGAATTGCGCCCTAGTAATAGTGCAAATTTTGGGGGGGAGAAGCCCAATCATTTATCCAATCATCCAGTGAATGGATAAAAAGCATTTGACGAAATTCAGCACCCTTTCAGGAAGACAGCGCTCCAACAGTTAGGAATTGAAGGGAATTCCTCAGTCTGATGAAAGACATCTCTTAGCCCGAGAGATGGCGCATTGTGCAGAGTGCTTGCCTGGCCGTCCGCTCACCTAGGTTTCTTCCCTGGCACCCTCTGTGTCCCCTGAGCCTGCCAGCACTAATCGCTGAGCGCAGAGCAGGTGGAAGCCTGAGCCGGGCCAGGTGTGACCCCAAAACAAAAGACATCTCTGAAAATTCACAGTGGGTGTCCTATTAATGGTGAAAGACTAAAGGTTTTCTCCTAAATAAAGACAAGTCTGTATGGCAGGAGGGTGAAGGCCACTGAAACACCCTTTCTTTCAGGTGCTCCAGAACGTAGCTAATACGTGGCCCAGCATGTTCTCGAGCTAGACTAGATGGCAGCCATCACTGCGAGCTCTGGGCCTTCTGGTGGCCGTAGGTCCTGAGCCCCCAGCATCTCTGAGCTGGAGGATTGCTGGGTTCAGCCACCGCTACAGACCACCCCCACCCCCAGATACCATCAAATACATACATTAAAACTAAGGAATTCAGCAGAGGTGCAGGATATAAGATCAGTGTGCAAAGCGTTTGTGTTTTTGTGCAGTTACCATGAAGAGTGCAGAAAGTGACGTTCAACACGCGTAGGTATAAAATGTAAACTTAGGAAACTAGAAAGCATTGTTGGAATGAGAATCTAAGTGAGATGGGGGCTGGAACGATAGTACAGTGGGCATGGCACCTGCCTTGCACATGCCAACCTGCTGCTGGGTTCGGTCCCTGCCATCCCATATGGTCTTCCGAGCACCGCCAAGAGTCGTTCTGAGTGCAGAGCCAGGAGTAAGCTCTGAGCACTGCTGGGTGTGGATCCCAAAACAAAAATGAAGCAAATAGAGTAACGCTTATTTGCAAGACCCAAAATTAATATTGCATATTGCCCATGACCAAAGATTGAAGTTTCCAGATTTTGACTGTCTTTGCTGAAATTGGCAAGACTTAGAATAAGCAAAACAGCCTTGACAGAGCAGAGTTGGAGTCCCACCTCTCGGTGTCAAACTTTCTTCAGAGCCAAGTTCAAGAGGCTGTATAGGGCATGTAGCCGCAGCCGTGCCCGTGGAACAGAACTAAGAATCCAGAACTGAACCTTCGTATTTGCAGTTTGTTTTTTACGGGTGCCAAAAATTACTAGAGTTTTCTGTTAGATCATGGTTGCACTGATAGCTGGATGTGCTTGGGGAAAAGGATGAAGTTGAACTTGACTCTCGCGATATGTAAAAAATTACCTCAGTGACTCAAGCCAAAAAGCTCTCCAGGGACTGCGATAGTACAGCTTGGAGAGTGTTTGCCTTCCTGTGGCCAACCTGTGTTTGATCGCCAGTCCTCCGTGTAGCCCCCCAAGCCACCGCCAGGAGCGATCCCTGAGTGCAGAGCCAGAAGCAAGCCCTGAGCACAGTCAGGTCGGCCCCAAACAAAACAAAAAAATGAAATGCTGAGCAGACTCCTAGAAGACCACATGGCTATTGATTTTTATGACTTTACAGTGTTTGGGATGTGACGTCAGAATACTGGATTCAACTGGTCCACAGATGTAAAAGGTAGATACCCACTGCATCAAAGGTAGGGGACCAAAACAAGATGAAGTTCACCAAAACTTGACCAGGGATGCCATCAAGGACCTGAAAGACAGTTCACAGAGTGGGAAGAAAATATTTTGAAATCATTTGCTTTCTAAGATACTGGGAGTAATCCCCGAGCATGGCCCGGCGTAACCCCTCCCCCTCCCCACACACACCTCCGCCCTCACATATCTCCAAATTCTAAAATACAGAGATCTAGTACGAGGGTTAATGCGCATGTCTTGCATCCCTCTGACTCTGAACTGACTCCTGACTGCAAGCCAGGAATAACTCTTGAGCATCACTGAATAAGGCCCCAGCCCCACAATACCTTAAAAAATACCAAAGACCACAGTAAAAGACAAATTCTGATTTTAACACGGACGAGGGGAGCCAGAGAGGAAGCTCGACAGACAGCGCGTGCTCTGTGCGAGGGAGGCCAGGGTTCGGTTTCTAGCTCGGCATGGTCCCAAGCGCTTCCAGGAGTGAATAAAAATGGGCCGTTTCTCCACAAATACAGAAATGGCTAGTCCAGGAAAAGATGCTCAGAATTAGTCGTTAGGGAGATGCAAGCCCAAAGCCCTGGGTATCACTTGAGAGCCCTAGGATGTCTAAAATCCAAAGCCCATGTGTTAGCCGCTGTTGCAGATGTCATGGAACGTTTCAAACAACCTTCCAGCATGGATGAACCTGTTAGGTCAGAGATGTCAGTCACATGGAGCTGGAGTGATAGCACAGCGGGTAAGGCGTTTGCCTTGCACGCAGCCGACCCAGGTTTGATTCCCAGCATCCCATATGGTTCCCCTGAGCGCCGCCAGGAGTGATTCCTGAGCGCATGAGCCAGGAATGACCCCTGTGCATCACTGGGTATAACCCAAAAAGCCAAAGTAATTGTCAGTCACGAAAGACCACGCAGTGTAGGATGGACTCCACCTGCGGGGTTTAGAGTAGGCAGACCCATAGCGAAAGTGGTTGCCTGCGAGGGAGCTTCTCCAAGTTGTGAAAATGCTTCCGAGCTGGTCGTGGTGACAGTCCCACAACTTTGTAAAGAAATGTGATGAGAGTCATTGAATTGGGGCCAGAGAGAGTACTGGGTCAACCCTGGTTTCCATGCCTGGCACCAATGTGGTCCCCTGACAGCGCTGGGTGTGGATCCCCCCAAAAAACACAATCTAGACATGTAAATTGCATGCTCTGTCACTCCCCCCCCCCCCCCCCAACGTTATCCTAGAAAATGCCAAGCTTGGGACCGAAGGGAACGCAGCAGGTAAGGGAGTTGGCTCGCACACGGCCGCCCCGCAGGCCACCCCGCGCCACACAGGGACCCCTGAGTGCAGAGCACAGCCCCACCCCACCTTCCCGAAAAGAATAAGAAAGTACAGATTCCCAACTTATTGTCACCTCCCTCCATGCAAGTGATTTGATGGCAAAACCTGTCCCTCCCCTTAGGCGGGACATCTCCCATCTCGGGAGAGTGCCCGAGAGGAAGCCTGCCCCTCCCTCCCTCTTGTCTCTTGCCCTGTCACAAGGGAGTTTTGAGAGGCTGAAAGTTGTCCTGCTTGTCCTGCTGGCGGCCTCCTGGTTCCCTGCGCTGGTCAGCGGCACTACCCGGCCAACGGGAGCCTCGGGCGCCCGCGTCTGGCCGCCCTTCTTTTCTTACCGTTTCCTTCCACGGTCCGTCGCGTTGACTGTGCTCACGTGCTGGTGACTTCCTGTTTTTATCCATCCTTTCCTCGTGTTGCCAGCAGCCTGGACAGACAGACGCGGGGTGCTCTGCCGCTCCCCACACTTATTCCCGTGCTCTCCGGGTCCCGGATCGCTAACTCGGGGCCTCTGCTACCAGCAGCGTGAGGAAGAGAGTCCCTCTGTGCCCAGCGGAGGGGACTGAGACTAAAGGGAACTCCGGGCGAGGCCAGAGCGAGGGGAACGGCGGGGAGGACCCTTGCCCGACATGTGGCTGACCTGGGTTTGAGTTCCCTCACCCGGTATGGTCCCTGAGCTCCTCCAGGAGTGATTCCTGAGCGCAGTCAGGAGAAACCCCTGAGTGTTTCTGAGTGTGTGCGCGCCCCCCCCCTCCCCCCCGCTCCCCCGATAAAGAAAAGGTAACTCCGCGGGTGTCCCTTTGGTCCTTGGGCTGCCCGGCTGTCTCTCTCTGCGCCAGTCTCTCGGGTTTCTCGCCTGTCCTGCTCACCACGCCGCATCTGTGCCCCGGCCCTTCTCTGGCCACAGGAACAGGCACCAGCCCACCCCGATTCCTCATCTGTTCCTTACAGGGGTGATGAATTTACCCAAACCAGAGGGGAAGTAGCTCCCCGCTCCTCATCCCGGGGAAGGCTGGTGCTCAGACCTGCTCGCCAGAAGAACGCCACTGAGCTGCCTGCGTTTGGTTTTCTGTTTGTGTCGAAGGTGCTCGGTTCATCATCCCAGATTGGTTGAAATCCGCACTTAATGCTTCTTTATCCACTTGAACGGCCAGTAGCCCTCCAGGTTTTTAAGATGGGTTTAAATCTTTCTCTCTCTGAGTTCTTTTCCTTTCTCTTCTTCACAGGCAATGGTAACTCAGGATTTGAAGGACAGAGTCGCTATGTCCCATCTTCTGGAATGTCCGCCAAGGAACTCTGTGAAAACGATGACCTAGCAACCAGCTTGGTTCTTGACCCCTATTTAGGTTTTCAGACGCACAAAATGAATACGAGGTAATTTGACATCTTTATCCTGAATGGAACAGATGATGTTGAATTTAAGAAAATAGATGGCTGCTTTTATTTTTAGCGCAAAGTTAAAATTACATTAAAGTAAAGTTCTTCGCTACACAAGGGGTTTCTGTATGTGCGCCAAGCAACGCAATAAAAGCTTCTAAGAGCCTTGTCAGTTTTAATTCGTTGTTCTTATTTTATCTCAGGCTGTTTCTATTAAAACATCAAGCTGGAGAAGCATCTTCATACTGTCTTTCAAATGTTGTTGGTGATGATCTTGGCTGAAGTCTTAAAAGCATCCCAGCAGACCTTGAAAATGTATAGGATTGGTTTTTGTCTAAGTAGGTCACTTCAGGTTTTTTCATGAATTATTACAGATTTCTCAAGTATTTGTCATGGTGTCTAGGGAATTTTGCCAGCATGTTTAGTTTTTGAGATGAAGAGTACTTGGCTGTTCATAAGAACAAACATATAAGTAAATATTTTTAAGCATGTGCTTATATACAGTGTACAGGCACGAGAGGAACTGTAAACGCCTCGCTGAGTGTCAAGTGCCATCGTCATGAAAATCTGATGGCATTATTTTAAAGATCTCCCATCCTTTAAGTCTCTTCTCGTTTTCTCGTGGGGGCAGAGGACAGGGCTGACTCCTGGCCCTGCCCTTAGGACTCACTCCTGGCAGTCCTCAGGGGACCATATGGGGCCGCGACTCAAACTTGAGTTAGCCGCGTGCACGGCAGACGCCCTCTCCACTGTTTCCTCTCTCTGGCCCTGGGATTCGTTTTCTTAGGCGTTCTCTCGTTCCCCCAGACGCAGTTAGATGTTATGTAATTGACTCCGCTACCACACACAGGTGCTGTTCTGGTGTTGTGTTTTGCTTTTTTTTCTCCCTTTTTTTTTTTTTTTTTTTTTTTTGCTTTTTGTTTTGGTTTTGGGGCCACACCCGATGTTGCTCAGGACTTACTCCTGACTCTGCACTCAGGAATTACTCCTGGCAGGCTTGAGGGACCATATGAGATGGGGGGATCCAACCGGGTTGGCCACATGCAGGGCCAGTGACTGCCACACTGTACTATCACTCCAGCCCCTTTACGACTTCTCTTTCTCTTCCCATGGCAAAGGGTTTTCTGGCCGAGTAGAAAATTTGAACAGCTGGGTGTGTGTTTGTTCGGTTTTGGTTTTTTGTTTCTATTTGGGGGGTTTTACACCACACCCAGCTGTGTTCAGGAGTTATGTCCTGGTACTGCAATTAAGAATTAACTCCTGGCAGTATTCGCGGGCCCCTCCAGGGTGCCCAGGACTGAATCCAGGTGGGCTGCATGCGTGGCCAGCTCTAGCCCGTGAGCAGCTGGTGTTGGGCTGGAGGCCAGCTCCCATCCCGGCGCTCCTCACACGGGCACTGTGGTCTGTGGCTCCAGTGCCCGGGACCTTCCACAGACTGACACGCTCCCGGGTGGGCGGGAAGGCGGTAATTGCTAGTTAGGGGTGAGGAAAGGGAAATCTCTGTCGTTGGTCCAGTGAGTTTATCCCTAGCTGGATACCAAGAGGGTTTTATTAGTTAGAAACTTAGAAAACATGCAGGTCAAAATGTGCCTTCAGGGGACTGGAGAGATCGCACAGCGGGTAGGGCGTTTGCCTTGCACGCGGCCAACCCGGGTTCAATTCCCAGCATCCCATATGGTCCCCTGAGTACCGCCAGGACTAATTCCTGAGTGCAGAGCCAGGAGTAAGCCCTGTGCATGGCCAGGTGTGACCCAAAAAGCAGGAAAAAAAAAAAGTGCCTTCGGGATTTCCACGTCATTCCTTGCTGTCGTGTACCGAGATGGGGTTTTCTCAGAGGGCTGAGGTGTGGCGAAACCATCCGTGGCTCTGTGCCGTTGGCGTGGCCTTTGTCTTTTCTCTCCAGGCCGGTGCTGACCGCTTAGAGCTGCAGGAATAGACCCCACAGGTGCGGCCAAAACCAGATCTGTATTCTTTAAAGTTTTAAAGTCTCTTTTCCCCAGGGAGAAGAGCCTGAAGGAGAAGAGAGACAGGCTCAGGCTTGGCCTGGGGAGGGACTGATGGTCACTCCGGGCCTTTGTCCTGCGTAACACGCCAGGGAGACGTTTCCTGGCCTGCTGCGTGTGGCTTGCCCGGTTCCGTCCCATCCTTGATGGGCCCCACCAGGGGCAAGCCTTGGACATGACCGGTGTGGCTCACAAACAGAAGGTGCCTCTGGCTGGCCGGCCTTGGGGACACAGGACAGCGGGGAGGGCGCTCGCCCTGCACGCAACTCACCGGTGCCATCCCCGGCGTTCTCTGTGGTCTCCAAGCACCCCCAGGAGTAATTCCTAAGCGCACAGCCTGGAGTAAGCCCCTGAGCACTGCCAGGTGTGGCCCCAAAACCCAAAACCAAAAGGAGTCTGTTTTTGTTCATTAGCTTTGGATGTGGAAATAACGGAAGGAGGCCTTTGGGTCTGCCCTGACAAGGTGCGCTGGGCACTCCCAGCCATTCTTGACCTAGTCTTCGGGCCTAATGTGCTCAGCCCCAGCAGTGCTGGGAGACACCAGGCCACCCCTATAGTGTGAGGGCAAGGCTGCTTCCCCCCCCCCCCCCGAACCTTTTTTTTTTTTTTTTGCTTTTTGGGTCACACCTGGAAATGCACAGGGGTTACTCCTGGCTGTGCACTCAGGAATTACTCCTGGCGGTGCTCAGGGGACCATATGGGATGCTGGGAATCGAACCCGGGTCGGCCGCGTGCAAGGCAAACGCCCTACCCACTGTGCTATCGCTCCAGCCCCGGGAACCATTTTTGGAAGGCATTCCCTCAAGTCACAAAAACGTTTTAGTGCCATAGGAAAGAGCTGGATTTCTCTGTGTGTTATTTCAGAGAAGGAACGTTTCCCTCTTCGGACTTTTATGAGAGGAAATGCCTTCTGTTTTCTGTAAAAGTCCTTCTTTGCCCCGGCTGCGTATGTTGGTTTACGTCTGAGTCCCACCGGAAATCTTGTTATAAAATGGAACCAGTGATTTCCGTGCAGGACGGAGGCCGGACGTTTTATGGCTAATCACATTCCAGGGCTCTGAGACAGCAGAGTCCTCCCCTCCGACTGCCAGCCAGGGTGGAGGGTGGCAAGTGGGTGGCAAGTGGCCCGTGAGGGTCGGGGAGGTGGCCCACACATAGAAATCTGCCTGGTGTGTTAGAGGCCCAAATGCATCCCGGCACCACAGGCGCCCTGACCGGCCGGCTGCGTGTGCAGGTGGCCTTTTGGTGTGTGTGTGTTTGTGTATGCATGCGTGTTAGTTTTTTGGCGGAAGGGTGTGAGGGGGGGCTGTGCCTACGGTGCTAAGGGCTTATTTCTGGCACTGTTCAGGGGTCTCTCCTGCTGGGTCTCAGGGACTATATGCAGTGCTGGGGACGGAACCCCAGTTGGCTGCAAGAAAGGTAAGTTCCCTACCCACTGCTCTCCCCGTGGCCCAGGAACTTTTGTTTTTATTTATTTTATTTATTTTGGGTCACACCTGACAACGCTCAGGGGTTACTCCTGGCTCGTGCACTCAGGAATTACTCCTGGCGGTGCTTGGGGGACCATATGGGATGCCGGGGATCGAACCTGGGTGGGCCGCGTACAAGGCAAACGCCCTACCTGCTGTGCTATTGCTCCAGCCCCGGAACTTTTGTTTTTAAATATCCTTTGAGTTGCTTTTTTTTAGGGGTTTGGTTTGGTTTTTAGGTCACATCCAGCAGTGCTCAGGGGTTACTCCAGCGTACTTTAAAAATATGTAGGGGCCGGAGAGAGAGCACAGCGGGTAGGGTGTTTGCCTTACACGTGGATGACCCGGGTTCGATTCCCAGCATCCCATATGGTCCCCCGAGTACCACCAGGAGTAATTCCTGAGTGCACGAGCCAGGAGTAACCCCTGTGCATCGTTGGATGTGATCCCGCCAAAAAAAAAAATATGTAGATCTGGGAGCCAGAAGGGTAGAACAGTGGGTAGGGCACTTGCGTAACACGCGGCCAATCCGGCTTTAATCCTAGGCAGCTTGCATGGTGCTCTCAGCACCAAGAGTGATTCCTGAGCACATAGTCAGGAGTAACCCCTGAGCATCACTAGCTGTGCCCCCAAAAACAAATATGTAGTTCTCTGGCCAGAGTAGCAAGTAGTACAGCAGGTGGGGTGCTTGCCTGGCATGCGCCCACCCAGGTTGGATCCCTGGCACCCCATATTTGGTCCCCTAAGCCCTGCTCGAAGTGGTCCCTGAGCACAGAGCCAGGAGAAAGCCCTGAGCACTGCTGAGTGTGACCACCCGTGCACCTCTTGGCTGGAGGCACAGCAGGGAGGGCGTTTGCCTTGCATGTGGCCAACCCGTGCTTGATCCCCGGCATCACAGATGTTGCCCAAGCACCTCCAGGAGTGATCCCTGAGCTCAGAGCCAGGATTAAGGCCTAAGCACCACTGGATGTGGCCCACAAACAAAACCAGAAAAACACAGTTACGGAATAGTAAAGGATCCCTAGCACCACGTATGGTCCCCCATACTCCGAGTACTTCAGGGTGTGACCTCAAAGCCCTGCTTCTCCAGAATAGTAGTTCTCAATTGCAGGGTTCAGGAATGTCACAAAAATAGTAAATTCAAAACTTTGCCCTGTTCATGTATCCCTGAATTCAAATATATCCAGTACAAACTTTTTTTTTTTTTTTTTTTTTTGCTTTTTGGGTCACACCCGGCGATGCTCAGGGGTTACTCCTGGCTCATGCACTCAGGAATTGCTCCTGGTGGTACTCAGGGGACCATATGGGATGCTGGGAGTTGAACCTGTGTTGGCCATGTTGGCTGCGTGCAAGGCAAACGCCCTACCCGCTGTGCTATTGCTCCAGCCCCCATCCAGTACAAACATTTTTTGTCTAGTAAAGAAATGGATGTTTGGGAGGCAGACCCCTGGCCAGCCGGACTGTGGGCACAGGGTCCTGGTGGGCCGGCGGGCATCCTCCAGCCCGGGGAACCACACTGCACCAGAGATGGCACAATGGCTAAGGCCTGGCCTTGTACCTCCTGAGTATGATCCCTGGCACCCTGTTGGTCCCTGAGCTCGCCCAGAGTGATTTCCTGCCCGGAGCGACGGGAGTGACCCAATACCAAAATCCGCATTTAACACGAAGCAGGGATAGCGCTTGCTCACGTCAGCGCGACGTTTGACTCTCCCTGCAGTTCCTGATTGGATTGATGGTGTAGATCCGAGAGGCTGCAGCCAGGCCTCCCCTCGTGCTCAGTGGACTTAAGGTTGATCCCGGCTCCCAGAGCACTGCAGGAGTAATCTCTGAGCACACAACAATGTCATATGTGGAACCCCTATGTGGCGGTCATGACACACAGTTTGAAAACTTGGGTCTACACAGCTCTGCCCTCAGGTTGGTCTCGTGGCATTGCTCCACAGAGGCCGTGTGGTCGGGCAGCTGCTGCCCTCTCCCTGAAGTCAGCCCTCAGAGGGGTTTTTGCGCGGCTGTAAGCCACCAGGTACGGGACATACACTGCGCTAGTCAGTCTCCATCACAGGCAGACATTTTCACTCGTCCTTAGTAATTTATTGGAAAATAAAATTGTCAGTACCAGTTCTTCATCTCCTGAGCAAGAATTTATAAGAAGGTTGACTTACCTCATTTTCAAAGCTAAAATAAAATCTATGGTTCTTTATTGGAATAACCAGGAAGCTTTTTTTTTTCTTTTTGGGTCACACCCGGCGCAATGCACAGGGGTTTCTCCTGGCTCATGCACTCAGGAATCACTCCTGGCGCTGCTCGGGGGACCCGGGTCAGTCACGTGCAAGGCAAACGCCCTACCCGCCGTACTATTGCTCCAACCCCAGAAAACATTCTTAAATCAGTACCTTCGGGACCTTCTCTTGAGGTGCAAAGTCACTTAACGGGGGTCTATGGCTTGGATTTTGTTTGCCAGGCACACCTGTAGGACTTTATTCCCTAGTGCTTATCTGGAATGTGAGTGTCACGTGATGCTCAGGGGTTACTCCTGGCTCTGCGATCAGGAGTGACTTCTGGCGGTGCTCAGGGGACCATATGGGATGCTGGGAATCGAACCTGCGTCAGCTGCATGCAAGGCAAACGCCCTCCCACTGTACTATCACTCTGGCCCTTGTGTCTACGCCCTTTCTCTGCCTCTCGCTTCTCGGGCAGTTACCAGGAGAAGTGTTCAGAGAGGCTGGCAGTTGAATGACCTGAGGGTCTCAGAGTCCCCAGACTGCTCAGATGTAGGCCCTTATTACTAACAAGGCAAGAAGACGGGCTTGGTCGAGCCAGCACGGGACTATTTATTGAGCAGGTTTTAGACGTAAACGGAATTTTGTCAATGATGACACGTTTCAAGGATTTCTGCTGTGACATTGTACATCTGCTCTAGTAGTTACAAATGCAAATTGTACGATTAATTTTTTTATTATTTGTTTTTGCATTTTTTCTATTCAGCACCTTTCCCTTGAGGAGCTCAAGGCATTTTTCGAAGTCGGACGGTTTTCCTCACGCCAACCCCGTGAGGTAGGTAAGAGTGCGTTACGAGCAACGAGACACCAGCCCACCTGTTTGCACCTTAGTAATGCTTGTCTGTGTTAAGTATTAGAGGTGTCCGTATGCAAGACTTTTAAACATTTTGCAAACCTTGTAAAATAATTTGGTCTTAGTAATTAGCAGTATTTAAAAAACCGCTTGTACTCCATAACAGGGTACTTTTAAGAGAATCACCAAAAGATCAGGAGTCTCCATGGGATTAGCTGGGCACTGGTTGCAGGACTCAGCCAGGTATGTTTCTGGTCGTTTCTTTTCAGGTCAAGAAGGAATGAAAGCGGGGTGCGAGCCGGGCTCTCTCCGTGGCCGTGGGGGAGTGGCCAGGCAAGCGCCCCCCGGTTTTCTTCCTTGGTCTCGGACAGTGGAGCGCTGGGCTCTCCTTAGCCTGCCTTTGCTCCTGGTTTTCGTCCCTGCCCGTCGATGCCATTGGAAAGGCAGCGTTGCAGCTAACTCTGACCTGACGCCGGCTTCCTGCCACGGTGCTCCCTGGGCTCCAAAGACAGGAAAGCCAGATAGTTCAAAAATGAGGAGAGGGTCTCGCTGCCTGAGAAGTGCCAAATGCCCGTCTCCCACCTGCCCTGCCACCCTCCCTCCCTCCCCTGCTCTATCTGACCTCGCCTCCCCTCCCCAACCCTGCACTGCTCTGCCTATCCTACGCCACCCCCACTGCCCCCCACCCCCCAGAGACTGAGGACATCCAAGCTAGAGTAGCCCTGCTGGGCATGGGCCAGAGACAAAAGGAGTCAGAAGTCCTGGTCCTGGGGGCTCCGAGAGGCCACATTCGGTCCCCTGCACAGCTGACGGGAGCCAGGCAGTGTGCCAGGAGTAGCCCCTGGGCCCTACGGGTGTGGCCGCGCCGCCTACCCCTTCTCTGGCACTTCAGGGAGCCGCGGGTCCAGGGGGGCGCCTGCCCCATCAGACCCTCTCCCACCATCTAGAACCGTGGGATCGGGGTGCCTTGGGGCCGACCGTGCGCCTTGGTCCCTAAGGGGAGCGCAGAGTGTTTTCCTGCTGGATGATAGGACCCTCCTTGCTGTCCTCTCACACGGTTAGATAACCTTTAACCCCCCACAGGATGTGACTTGAGCTGGCCTCCTGTGGGCCCTCTCACAAACGCTGGCCTCGTCTCCTCCATCTGACCCAGAGCCAGTCTCTTCCGCGTTTCCTCACTGTTTCTTGCCTGTTGGAGCTGAGCGCGGCAGCAGATCCCCTGTGCGTGTCAGGCGCTTCTTGCTGGTGGGCCGTGGCTAGCGAGTGACCCCTGGGTGTGTGTGGGGGGGTGTTTCATGGTTCAGAAAAGGAAAAACAAAAGCAGGAAACGCAGAGGGTCCACTGCCGCTACGTCCAGAGTGAATCTTGCACTGGTGTTACTTTGTGAGCTCTTTGACGTTGTAGAGGAAGAATGAGAAACCAAAGGCCGCCAAAGGCCTCGCTCAGACCGTCTGTCTTGTCCCCGCTCTGAAGCGTGTTCCTTCGTCAGGCAGAGCGTTCGCCTGGGTCTCAGTAACACTTGGAGTCCCCGGTGACCCGGAGCCTTGACGTTGAATGGGTTTGGGGCCGTGCAGTGGGTGCCCGTGTCCAGCCCGGCCTCCCAGTCTCTGCACGCGGCCCGGTGCCTCCTGCCCGACGCTCTGTCTGCTCCGGCGCTGCCGGCTGACCCACCCCGGCTCCTGCTGGACTCCGGCCACCGCGGCACCCTCCACTCAGAATTCCTCTCGCTTGCTCCCTTCCTTTGATTATTTCTTGCCTGTAGTCATAGTCATACTCCTCTTTTTTCTGGAAGTTGAATTCATTACTATGCTCTAAACAAAATCTGGGGTTTGGGCGGTACTACAGCAGGGAGGGCATTTGCCTTGCACAAGGCCGATCCGGGTTCAGCCCCCCGCATCCCGTATGGTCTCCCAAGCACAGCCAGGAGTGATCCCTGAGCATCACCGGGTGTGACCCGAAAAGCAAAAAAAAAAAATCTGTAGTACGCAGGGTAGCACAGACTTGCCTTGCGTGCAGCCGAAGCGGGTTTGGTCCCTGGTATCCCATAGGGTCCCACAAGCACCACCAGGGGTATTTCCTAAGTGCAGAGACAGGAGTAACCCCTGAGCATTGCCTGCTGTGACCCCCCCCCCCCAAAAAAAATTACCTATTATGAAAATTAAGGCAAATGTGATTGGGTAATAAATTTTGACATTGTGATTCAAGTACCAGGCCAGGAGCTGGCCGGAAAGGCTGAGGCAAGCAGAAGGTCAGGGTACTGTCCGGCACACAGCCCTGGGCACGGCCAGAGGAGGCCCCCCAAAAAGAAGGGCAGGTACCGTTACTCGTAGCACACACCTTACAAGAGAGCGGTTTTAGAACGAGGAGCCTCCAGACTTGCTTCCCTGGGATGCTGTCGTCCGTTAGCATGCGTCAAGCTGCTCTGACATCATTGTAGCTGATTTTGTAAAAGAAATCTAAAATTGGACCCTGATGTTTCCTGGTTGGTTTTTTTTTTTGCACAGAATGGCAGCACATCTGCCAGAGTTGAGTTTTCCTTTCTGATTGCGCTTAGCCAGGATTCGCTCTTGGGAGCTCGAGACCCCGAGGAGTGTCCGGCGCTCGGGGGCGCTTCCTGGGGAACGTTGTGCGCGAGGACAATATTTCTGTGGGAGGCAGGATTTTGTTTGCCTCATCGTTCTTGTGAAGTTGATCGCTTTGCATTCTTCTGGCTTGATCCTGCATGTTTGGGAAATTCTTGTCATTCTAACAAGCCTGGAGACCTCTCCTCTGCAAAGTGGGTGACGAGTGTGAGCCTGAATCAGCTTCCTTTTGCTTCATCTGCCTCCTTGTGACGGAGCGAAGAGTAAAGGAGGAGGTGGCGGGGGCCGGAGGCTGTTCGGTGGGGCGGGCACTGGCCTTGCACAGGGCTGACCCGGACTTCATCCCCGGGATCCCACAGGGTCCCCTGAGCACCCCAGGAGTGACTCCTGGGTGCAGAGCCAGGAGTGAGCCCTGAGCATCTCCAGGTGTGGCCCCAAAACAGAGAGTTAAAGGGAGACACTGGAGAGTACAGGGATAGGGGGGCTCAGCTCACGATCCCCCAACACCATTAGGCGTGATTCTTGAGCACAGAGCTGGACGTGCTTTAATAATTTTCTTATGAAAAAATAAGAAAAAAGAGCAGTGTAAGTAAGGGAGCAGAGAAGTAGTACAGGGATCAGGTGCTTGCCTTGCAGTTGGCTAACTCGGGAGTGATCCTTGAGCACTGAGCTAGCGGTAAGCCCAGAGCACCACTGGGAGTGAACTGTGAACCCCCCAAAAAAGATAAACAAAACAATCAAGGGGCCAGAGTTGTGGTTGAGTAGGAGAGCACAGGCCTTGCTGGTGAGACGCCGCACTCGCTCCCCAGGGCTGCGTGGCCTGACTACGGCTCCCCCAACACATATTCAGACACACTCGGGGGGCCGGCGTGAGGGCTCAGGGCCCTTGACTTGCACGTGACTGACCGGGGTTCGATCCCAGCACCCCCATGTGATCCCCAAGCCCTCCAGAAGTGACGCCTGGGTGAGAGCCAGGAGTGACCCCTGAGCACTGTCGGGTGTGGCCCAAAAGCAAAAAGAATAAAGTACGCTTCGAAGAAAGTTCCTTTTTCTGGTCGTTAGTCATCAACAGGATCCTCGTTCTCTCTCCCTAGATCTGGCTACTTCAGGTTCTCTGCTGCGCAAGTGGTTTCAACTCTGGCCCAAGAATGGTGGTGACAGCTAAGATTGTTGTTTTTGTTTCTTTTAGATTTCGACCGATTAAAGGAAGGCAAGAAGAGCTGAAGGAAGTGATAGAACGTTTTAAGAAAGACGAGCACTTGGAGAAAGCTTTCAAATGTTTAACGTCAGGCGAGTGGGCGCGGCACTATTTTCTCAACAAGAACAAAATGCAGGAGAAATTATTCAAGGAACATGTAAGTTTACTAAAAAGATGGATATTGAGGGGCAGGAGAGAGAGAGAAGGTTCCATCCCTGGTACCCGAGCGTCCCCCGAGCACAGCCAGATGTGAGCCCCCCAAAAGAAGGTGAACGTTGAGCTGGAGCGAGTCTGTAGGGCTGAGCACGTCCCCTGCATGCAAAGCCCCGTGTGCAGTGTCTGGGCCCTGCCTCTGACCCCACAAATGCTGTTTATGTCTGTGGATAAGAGCAAAGGAAACCGTGGGGGTTGCAGCAGCTGTCCAGCCGGGAGGGCACTTCATGCAGCTGACCCGGGTTCGGTCCCCAGCATCCCCTGTGGTCTCCTGAGCAGAGCTAGGAGTACCTTGGAGCATTGCCAGGTGTGGCACAAAAGAATAAAGGAAGCCAGCCTGAAATTTATTTTACCTTTATTACTTAGTTTACTTAATATAACGTATCTTAGGCACCTGGACTGGAGCATTAGTGCAGCGGGTAGGGCGTTTGCCTTGCACGCGGCCAACCCAGGTTCGATTCCTCCGTCCCTCTCGGAGAGCCCGGCAAGCCACTGGGAGTATCCCACCCGCACGGCAGAGCCTGGCAAGCTCCACATGGCGCATTTGATATGCCAAGAACAGTAACAAGTCTCACAATGGAGACGTTACTGGTGCCCGCTCGAACAAATGGATGAACAAAAAGACAGTGCTACATCTTAGGCAGCATGATTTATAATTTTGTTAGTGACAGCAGTCTAAATTGTAAGATGCTGAGATTTTATTTTTCATAAAACAAATCAGTATGCAGAATAATAATGCATAAGTAACAATACAGAGAGAAAACTCATCTAGAAGTGAGATTTTCTTACACAGTGAAATGCTCCAAATCATTGTAGGTACGCCAATATGAGACATTTATAGAATAAAGCTTGTCAATTATCTTGAATTTTTGCATTATTGATGATTTTATCCTTCTGAGGTAATTAGCAGTATAAACTATTAATATTTTTTTCTATTTCAGGTATTTATTTACTTGCGAATGTTTGCAACTGACAGTGGATTTGAAATACTGCCTTGTAACAGATACTCATCAGAACAAAATGGAGCCAAAATAGTTGCAACAAAAGAGTGGTAACTATTACATTAGTAATACCCCAGATAAACCAGATTTCTTCCGTGCTCTGTCAGTCACTGTTGGATGCTGAGGAAATTGGGGGTTGAAGCAGAGCTCGCTTTGAAAGGACCAGGGAAGTCCCAGGGCTTCACCCAGAACCCGTTTCCCAGCCAGTGGCCTTTTCTGGTACTGAGTCTGGGGTGCTCCTTGGTGACAGAACTGAAGTCACCTTAGGGACTCGGTGTTTGCACGGCCTGAAATCCTCAGTCAGTCTTTGATTGGAGTAATAAGAATGGCCTGGGAAGTCAATGGGTACTTAAGAATGCAACACTTCCTACAGACTGTGTGTGTGTGTGTGTGTGTGTGTGTGTGTGTGTGTGTGTGTTCACATAGCTTCAGTCAGAGCGGTTCAGTTGAAGTCTTCCGTAAGGGCCAACAGACATACTCGGATGGCAGAGTCTGAGGCCACTTGTCTGCCAGCTTATCTCCAAGGAAAACAAAGCCCCTCTTATGCCTCGCTCCCGATACCTGTATACGTGTTTCTCTCTCACCTGGTTTTGGTTTGTGTCATGGGTCACTGTTTCTCGGGCGTGTGCTCCCAGCGCAGCTCATGTCCATCAGGCCGGGAATTGACTGGCCATCTGAAGCATCTGCCTGATCTCCCCAGTACTTGTTGTAGCAGAATTTTTCGGGTCATGTTCCTGACAAAGTAATGGGAGAGAGGGTCCCTCCCTGGTGCTGGGCTGGGTGCGTCCACACGTGGACGTTGTCTCGGGACTCGTGTGGAGACGAGCGTGGGGATTGGAGCCCCTCATTTCGAGGGGAACTTCAGAGATGCTGGCCATGCTGGCTGATCCCCTCAGAAGTCCCCTCCTGTGACTGACAAGCGCTGTCCGTGCCTACAGGCCAGATTTTATATTGAATTGCCTCTCCGTATTTTTACATTGATTACCTGCATAAGTAGTATTTGGAATAGATTTAAGTATTGTTTAATTGTCTGGACTCCTGAGGCTGCATGTTGGCCTCTTTGGGCCTCTGAGGCAGTCAGCTCCTGCACTGAGCCGCCCACCTCCGTGCCAGGCCACGTGCACCCCGTCCCGAAGGACTGTCCTGTCCTGGGGGTAAGCCGGCGGCTGGCTCCGTGGCCCCAGGGAGGATGGGGAGACACCCAGGCGGGGGCCCGTGTGTCCAATCTTCCCTTTTCCGGTATTTAGCGGACAGGTTTAATTTGTTAAAGAAGCCTGACCATTTCTAATTACTAGTAATTTTTTAACCCATCACATATTTTAAATAGGAAACGAAATGACAAAATAGAATTACTGGTGGGTTGTATTGCCGAGCTTTCAGAAATCGAGGAGAACATGCTACTTAGACACGGAGAAAACGACTTCAGTGTCATGTACTCCACAAGGAAAAACTGCGCCCAGCTCTGGCTGGGGCCGGCCGCCTTCATCAACCACGGTAAGCCGCGCTCTCCCTCCGGCTGGGGTCCGCGCCCTAAGGGCTAGGCTGGAGCGTGGGAATTACTTCCCACGAGTCTTAAGTATCCGTGTGCGTGTACTTGAGCTCGATGCCGAAACTTGTGTCGGAGATGCTAAAATTGCATAGAAAGCTTATTGCAGATTTCTGTAATTGTTCGTGTTTCAGATCTTATCTACAGTTAATTGACTTTATCTTTTGGACATTTTTCAGATTGCAGACCTAACTGTAAGGTAAGCGTGTTTCCCTTTTTCTCGCCTCACGTCGTTTGTTGGCCTGAGGTGCGAGGCACTAAGTGGACGGGTCCTTTCCTTGCAGTTTGTCTCGACCGGCCGCGATACGGCGTGTGTCAAGGCGCTCCGCGACATTGAGCCTGGAGAAGAAATTTCTTGTTACTATGGAGACGGGTTCTTTGGAGAAAATAACGAGTTCTGCGAATGTTACACGTGTGAAAGGTGAGCGTGCCGCTTGGGGGTCCGTCTGCCTTGCTGGGCGGAGACGCTTTCCTGTTCTCGGACCGTGCTCAGGCCAGCCGAGGAACACGAACTACTTGGGGGCTGGCCCTGTCAGGTTACAGGTGTGTCGGGCAGGGGGCGAGGGGACCCCCGCCCGGAGCACCGGCTCCTGGCCATAGCGCGTGTTCCTGGGCTGTGCCGGGAGCGTGTTTATACATTTGCTCTTCCCTGGCTCCTAAGTTCTGTCACTCCCTGCCACACTGAGCCTGGGGGGTCCCCCAGGTGTGCCCTTTCGGAGTTGCTTGTTCAGGAGCCCTCAGCGGGGGGCACTGCCGAGCCGAGGGGGAAGGTGTGCCGGCCGCCTGCGGGCTCCTGGCCGTGTGGTGGTGACTTGGAGCCGACTCTTGGGGCCCTGGGAACCGCCGCTGCCTTAGAAACGGGGAGCGCTCCTCGGGCTCATCCCCCAAGGGCCCAGCGAGCACTTGGATTCTCGTTGGACAGTGCTCTGAGGTCATTCTGTAGCAGCGGTAGGTCAGAGCCTGCGGTGACGGCGTTTCCTGAAGTCGGGCCGTTAAGAGCAGAGAATGACGGACAGGAAGTGGCGCCAGGGCTCGCCCTGGCATTTGTGCGACCAGCGACGAGATGGGTGAGACCGCTCGGCTGGGTGGGGCCCTGGGAAAGATTGCTCTGTGGTATCTGGTGACTTCTCCTAAGACGTGTCCCCCAGAGCACGCGCTTCCCCCCGCAGAGGGCACTGGAACAGTTGGTAGCTTAGGGGGCTATTGGGGGCACTTTGTTTTCGGGCACCAAGTTTTGTTCTCTGAAAAGGGGTTAGTGGGCAGATTAGTTCGAGAACATACCCTCCCGGTGGCAGAGAGGCTTCCGGTCTGTGCTTTACTGCTCTTTTTCCCAGCATTTGGGATGGCGCCTGGCACCTGCTGGATGCTTTGTGAATCCTTTGTAATTGTGTTTGTGAGTGACTAGAGCAGATCCCGTGCTGTTGGGAGAGGTTCTTGGAAGACCGTGGTCCCCGGGCGCTGTTCTCGGAGGGCCACAGACACACAGGAAGTGCTGGCAGGGCAGGGGGGGTGTCGCAGCACCCGAGCTCGGGAAGCGCCGTGTGTTGTGTGGAGTTAGGGCGGACGGGAACAGGCAGGGTGCTGGGTGCTTGGCGGTGTGGAAGGTGCCATGAACTCTTCTCGCTCAGAAGGGGTGAAACCGAGGAAGAAGCTCTTGCCAAAAACTCAGGCCTTGTCGCCAGATCTCATAGTGGTAGTTGGCTGAGGAACGCTCCGAACTAGAGAGGATAATGAGGGAAGAGGCGCATGAGAAGTACACAGGCCCGAGGGAACGGGGGGAACCCCTCAGTCCCCCAGTATGTGGTGGAAATGCAGCGACTCACCAGGCCTGTCTCACCCAGTTTCTTAGGCAAAGGTCAGTTCTCTGGTGTGAGCCTCAGTTTCTCTGGTCAGGTGGAGGTGACGCCCTGAGGGCGTGGGGAGGCTTGGGCTCCTGGCACTGCTGGCGGGGTGTGGCTCACTGCGGTTCCAGGAGGCCTGTGTTGATTCCCAAACCCCCCACCCCACCCAGTCAAGAACAAATAAGTGGAAACCTCACCCAGTACCAAAAGGCATCAATGGCCTCCGAGCTATTGGTTTAAATCCTGGCTGGAAATATTACTTTGCCCATTGTGGGGGCCTTTCCCAGTTTGGGGGATGGGTATGTGGCGCGGGGCCTCAGATATTGGGGGCACAGCCTCACTGTGAACATCCTGGGAAGCCTCAGGAACACCAGACTCTTGCCTTTCCAGAGATGGGGTTAAGAAAACGAGAAGAGGGGCTGGAGCGATAGCACAGCGGTTAGGGCATTTGCCTTGCACGCGGCTGACCGGGTTCGATTCCCAGCATCCCATATGGTCCCCCTAGCACCGCCGGGCGTAACTCCTGAGTGCAGAGCCAGGAGTAACCCCTGTGCATCATCAGGTGTGACCCAAAAAGAAAAAAAAAAAGAAGAAACAAAGGAATTTAATGAGTACTCATCTGACACTGACTGAACGTTTCTGTGTCTTAGGGTGCGGTGACCTGGAGGCTTCCTACAGGAGTCTCGCCTGGCGCAGGCCATGGGGAGTCGTGGGTAGGGCAGGTGGGATAGGCAGCCGAGGAAGAAACGAGGGAACAGAATGAGTGTAATGAGAGTGAAGATCAAGGGAAGTTGACAGTTTTGGAAGTAAAATCTAACAAGGGACCAAATTACTTAGACGTCTGTGAAAGCGTGCCTGATGGTCGCTGAGAAAGAAGTATTCAGGCCTGGAGCGGTAGTACAGCACGTAGGGCTCTTGCCTTGCATGTGGCTGACCTGGGGTCGATCCCTGCTGCCTATACGGTCCCCCGAGCACTGCCAGGAGCGATCGCTCTGTGCCCCTATGCACAGAGCCAGGAGTCAACCCTGAGCACCACCGAGTGTGGCCCTAACACACACGTGGAACAAGGAACCAGAGAATACTGATGTTAAGAGAATATTGATGATCAGGCCGTGTCTTCCATGAGGCCCACCCGCATTGAGTCCCCAGCATTGCACGCTCAGGCGGTGATCGGGGTACCCGGCCGCCTTGCCGGTTGTGGCCCAGAAGCAAAACTCGAAAGTGTACTTGAGGATATTTGCCTTAATAATGAGGAGATCTGTTGCTATGAAATGTAATCAGAATCTGATAGTATTGGGCTAGAAGTGGACAATCAGACAAGGCCATAGATAGGTTAAGACAAAGTATATGGAGATTTTTCTGTTAGGTGGGAAGTGGTGGTTTCTTTAATGAATAATGTTGGATAATTTGTTCCAATTCTTGAAAAAAGCAAGCCTAAATTCCTACATTCCTTTCTCACACCATGTGCACAGCCAAATTTCAAAATACAATGCAGAAACAATTACCAAAATGCAAAGATCTTCTGAAAGGATGAAAATGGTTCCTGTCCCTGTTGCGCGCCACCACACCCCCCCCCCCCCCCCCGCCCAACGCAAACGCACACACCTGCCCCACGCTCTCGGCGCGTGCCACACTCAGCCACATCCCTGGCATTGCATCAGCTTTTGAATGCCAGAAAGTCAGAATTCAAGTAAAGTTCTCCAGGAACACTCAGAGTGGCGGGGGGTCTTGGGGCGGGGACCACGGGGCTCGTGGAAACAGGAAAGAATCCAGAGCTGCTCGTGGGGGTCGTGACCCGCCACGGCATGGGCCAGCTGCCCGTCCTCAGCACGCTGCTCTGGGGCCCCTCCTCGCGGTTGCATGTCCGAGTCCCTCAGGATCGCCCTCTGCGCTGCAACAGGAGACCGAGGTCCCCAATTATCTCATGGTCCCTGCCCATCGCCAAGACCCACCCGGGCAGCCCACCCCACGGTGCTCACCCCATACGTCCCATCCCAGAGGAACACGGCGGTGAAGCCAGTTTAAGGGGGACTGAGCGTGAGAGCGGGCGTGTGCGGTCAGCATCGCGTCCTGTTAGCGAACACTCCGCTCTGTAAGCTCGCGGAAAGTAGAATCCACAGGGCCCGAGCCATCGTCCGGCAGGCAGCTGCTTCCCTCGCCCCAGCCGACCCGGGTTCAGTGCCCGGCACCACATCGAGTCCCCTGAGCCCACCAGGTGGGTCTCTGAGCACAGAGCCATGAGTGAGCCCCGGACGAGCACTGCCGGGTGTGGCTCGGAAATTGAAAAGTAGGAAAAAGCTGGTGTGCTGTGAGACAGAGATGAAGCCCTGCGTAGATGGTAGCCGTAGGGCAGTGGGCAGGGCATGGGCCTTGCCTGCAGCCAACTCGGGTTCGATCCCTGGCACCACCACGTACTATCTCCCGAGCCCCACCTGAGTGATCCCTGAGCACCACCTGTGTAACCCCAAAACAGACGATCCAGAACAATGGTGCTCGTTGGTGATGAAGATGCAAGACCCGAGTCCCCGCTGCCACTCACGGAGCGTGATTGAGTGAACCGTGCAGTGTTTATTTTGTGTAGAAGTTCAACCTTCAGGGGTCAACGGACCCTAGTTCAGGAGGCTGGAGCGCTCGCCTCGCTTACAGGAGACCTGGGGTTGGTTGCCAGCGTCGCACAGTCCCCCGGGCGCCTCAGGGTGTTCCCCTTCCTCACAACCCCCAGAACGACTTTGAAAACATGTTAAATTCACATTGACCTGCGTGCTATGCAGTAAGGAAATTGGCTGAGCAAGACCCATGGTATCTTCTTACGAGGTCTTGTTTGTTCAAGGAGCTCAGGCGTGTGGGCCCACGCGGCCCTTCATTCACTGAGGCCAGGCGTGCTGATTCTTCGGGGGAGAGTAGTGAGTTTTATCTAAGGTCCTGACAGAAGAAATCACTAGTTCTTTTGGGGGGGCAGGGGAGCACACCCGCAGCACTCGGGCCTGACTCCCGGATCTTTTCATCAGCGGTCAGTCACACGTGGCAGGGGCTTAAGGACCTTGTGGATGCTGGTGATCGAAACCGTGTTCCCCCCTCCCCCGCCCCCCGTGCAAGGCTAACGCCTTCCCCGCTGTACTATTGCTACAACCCCAGAAATCACTAACTCCTGACTCCTTTGTGAACAATACTGCTTTTATACTGCAGCATGCTTATAATTTTTTCACAAGCTGTTGCTTTATATGACTTTCCTTAAACTAAGGTCTATAAAAGTCAGTGGTGGTGGTTTATTAAAAAATATTCTCATATTTTTAAAAATAACCGGGCTGGAGCAATAGCACAGCAGGTAGGGCATTTGCCTTGCATGCAGCCAACCTGGGTTCGATTCCCAGCATCCCATATGGTCCCCTGAGCACTGCCAGGGATAATTCCTGAGAGCAGAGCCAGGAGTAACCCCTGTGTATCGTTGGGCGTGACCCAAAAAGAAAAAAAAACTGCTTTTTTAAAACCAGATAGTGTATAGGACCAGAGCAGAGGTACAGCAGATAGGGTGTTAGCTTAGCTTGCAGCCAATCCAGATTCAATCCCTGACATCTCGTAGGACGTCTGAGTACCAGGAGTGATGCCTTCCAGGAGTGCCAAGTATTGGTCTACCTCCCCGACCCGCCCTGCAAGAAAAACCACCATTTTTAAAAAAATAAAAAGAGTTTAAAAAAGAAATTTGTCAAAAAGCGCTGAACATAGGAACTATTGAAGTCCGATTCATCATGAAGTTTAAGAACCTCTTATTAATAAGGGGCTGGAGAGGTAACATAGTAGGTAGGCCCCTTGCCTTGCTCACAGCTGACCCAGGTTCTTTGTCCTGTATCCCATAGTGTCCCCCAAAGCCCACCAGGAGTGATGATTCCTGAGTACAGAGCCAGAAGAAAATTCTGAGCATCACTGGGTCTGGCCCCCTAGGCCCGACTTCACCCCCCAAAAAAATAGTAAATTAAGTTCTGGCTGGAGAGATCAGATAGTAGGTAGGGGTTGTGCCTTGCATGCGGCCAACCTGCATTCAATCCCTGGCATCCCATATGGTCCCCCAAGCACCACCAGGAGTAATTCCTGAGTGAAGAGCCAGAAGTTACCCTTGAACATCACCGGATATGGCAAAAAATAAAAGGGGAAAAAAATGGGGCCAGAAAGTAAATAGTGTGTAAGGCGCTTGCCTGGCATGTGGCCAGCCCGGTTTCAATCACCAGAATCCTGTATGGGCCACCAAGCACCACCAGGAATAACCCCTGAACATCGCTGCATGTGGTCCAAGGACCACCACCACCACCCCCCCCCAAAAAAAAATAATGCCTTTTACTTGGTGAAGTAAAATTTTGTAAACGTAATGATGATCATTATGGTTTTGGTGTTTGGGTCGCACCTGGCTGTGCGCAGGGTCTGGTCTGACTTTGTGACTCCTGGCAGAATCATTCCTTTTCATTTCATTGACCCGAAGGGAATTCCTTCACAATTTCTGTTCCAAAAGTCAGATTTCCAGTATCCTAGTCTAGTTTTCTTATGCAAGATTTCAGTTAGGGTTTACTATAAGCGAACGTTTAAGTTCTAAGTAGTGATATTTGGAAGTTCTCTAGTTTCATTTTTTAATTCATAGTGCTAACCTGTACTAAACGAAAATGTAATATATAATTGCAGCTGATTTATTTAGGCAGAACTGCTGCCTGTTAGGCCAGCAGTTTGGAAATTGAAGAATTCTCTGCACCTGGACTTACACGGGGTCCAGTCATTTCTCAGGAGCAGTTAGTAATTGCTCATCTCAGCAGCCCTTTGGTTAAGTCTGGAGTGGCTTTGCTTTGGCCTGTGGGTCGCGCGGTACGAGCCCCGGCTCCCTGCCCGGGACGGGCGCCTTAACCTGTGCTGTTTTCTCTTGCAGGCGGGGAACTGGTGCTTTCAAATCCAGAGTGGGACTGCCCGCGCCTGCTCCCGTTATCAATAGCAAATACGGACTCAGAGAAACAGATAAACGCTTAAATAGGCTCAAAAAGTTAGGGGACAGCAGCAAAAACTCCGACAGTCAGTCTGTCAGCTCCAACACTGACGCAGACACCACTCAGGAATCAAACAACACAAGTAAGTCGGGGCCGTGGCGAGCGTGTCTCGGAAGGTTTGCTCAGTCGCTTTCCAGAGCTCGCTCAGGAAGTTTTTTCGTATGTTTTGGTTTGGTTTTGTTTTGGCCTTTTGGGTCACACCCGGCGATGCACAGGGGTTACTCCTGGCTCATGCACTCAGGAATCAGTCCTGGTGGTGCCTCGGGGATCTATATGGGATGCTGGGAATTGAACCCGGGTCAGCCGTGTGCAAGGCAGACACCCTACCCGTTGTGCTATCGCTTCAGCCCCATCGCTCAGGAAGTTTTTGATCTTGGCGAAACGAAGAGAAACACGGAGTCCCGTGCCCGACAGCTCTGCCGGCTTCTAGAGTGTTCGGCGCACGAAGCGGGCTGTGCCCCTCTCCCTGAGTGGGCTGCTGTCTGGAGCCCTCAGGAACGGGGTAGTCGATCGTTGGCGTGTCCCACGGGTGTCAGTGTCCCGCCCACATGGTGTCAGGCCCTCCAAGCCCGGATCTCTGCAGGCACACGCGGGGGCCGAGCCCGTCTGTTAGGAAAAAAGATCAGACCTGGCGAGTTCCTCGTGCCCATCTTTTTGGCATGTGCTTGCGATCAGCTCGCCACAGCGCCAGGGCCAGGCGCAGAATTGCGGTGACGGAGCTTTCGCGTGTCGCTGTCAGCCACCAGCGACAGCACGAGAGATGGAAGGAGGGACCAGCTGTGTGGGGCCAGACCCAGTGCGGGCTGAGCAGGAGAGGAGAGGAAAGGAGGACGCCTGCACGGGCCGAGGTGGCGCGTGTGGAACTTCCGGGAACCCAGTTGTCAGCTTGTCACCACCAAAGGAGGCTCTTCAGTTTGGCTTGTCTCGGAAGGTTGGACATGGTCGTCCCCGCAGGAGACCTATGTTGCCACCGTCAGCGCCCCTGGGGGTCTCGGGACCCGGAGACTGGGACGCGGACACAGGACCGCCATGGGCGTCCCCCAGCGGCAGGAGACTCGGACTCAATGGCAGTGACGTGACATTCATTCAGGGAGACCCCCTGCTCCTCCATGGGACTGCTCGCACCGGGATCAGGGTCCTGAAACGAACAGCCAGCAGGGCGTGGGTGCTGAGACCCCCACTACTACCCCTCCCCCCCCCCAGTAGTTCTGGGCTCTTGTTCATCCGGGAGCATCGGGTCCCCAGTCCCTGCCCTCCGCGCACCTCCACCCACACCTTTGGAAAAAACGATTCTGTGATGGGAAAAACTAGGGCTCTGGGAGCAGGGGTGGGGGGCACCCCAAGCTGCTGCCTAGGCCCTGACTTCATCTGGATGGTTCCAGCAGTCTCTGGGGGCTGCTTCCTTCAGGAAGCATTTTTTGGGGGGGGGCTTTTTGGGTCACACCTGGCGATGCACAGGGGTTACTCCTGGCGGTGCTCAGGGGACCATATGGGATGCTGGGAATCGAACCCAGGTCGGCCATGTGCAAGGCAAACACCCTACCAGCTGTGCTATCTCTCCAGCCCCCAGGCAGCATGTTTGATTCCTCCAAAGCAGCTTTCCTGTGTTAGGAACTGAAAATGATCCTTCCTTCCGTACTTCCTTCTGTACGTCTATACTTCTATTCTTGGGAGATGTCTCAAAGGCCACACTGGACTGTTTTCTTTTGTACCCAGAGAGAACCGAGACCCCAGGGAGATGTGGACATGCTTGTGTCCCAGGGCTTGGAGGGCCTGACACCATGTGAGCGGGACCCAAGAGAGAATGGAGATGTGGCCTGTGACCCCAGCATCCAGATTCTAGTCCTTCCTGCCTCGATGGCAGTGCCCCGGCAGCCACTCGGACAGGGTTGGAGTGGTTTCCCCCAAGCCAGCGCACCCATCCCAGGCCGGAGCCCGCTGGGTCCCGCTCCTCGAGCCGCCTCCGTTCTCTGTGGCAAGCGCAATGTTCCCAGAAGCCGCGCTGTTTGCTGTTCCCATCAAGCTCCTCAGACTCAAGTCCTCAGAGGCCTGTTGAGAGTTTTCTGGATCCCAACTTGGAAGCTGCCGCGCTGGGTCTGGCCTTTGCCTCCAGGGGTCTCTCCAGGACCAGGCACCATCTGCTGGGCTCTCGAGAAGCCGCTGCGGTCACTAAGCCTGAGGCCCCCGAGGGCTGCCTTCTGCCGTCGACTAGAGGGCCCTGCCTTGGGAAAGGTGTCTGCTTACACCTTCGAGGTCCTGTTCCTGAGCAGTTCAGAACTCGGGTTCTTGGACCAGGAAGAGAGGGCGTGTGCCTGGAGGCAGGAGGCCTGCCTGGGTTTGGTTCTGGGAACTACAAGAAGAAAGGGAGATTTTCGTCCTGGCCGTAGATGTGAATTTAAACTGAACAGCTTCCTGCTCTTATCACCCCAGACCGCAGGAACCAGGCTCCATCCACATCAGCTCTAAAGAGAACACGCCGTAAAACGGGGGCCAGAGTGGTGGAGAATGGCCAAGAGACCGTCATGTCCCGGGACAGGAGAACAACACAGCAGGGAGGGCGCTTGCCTCGCAGGTGCCGGCAGGGTCCAATCCCGGCAGCCCACCTGGTCCCCCAAGCACTGCCAGGAGTCATCCCTGAGCACAGCCAGGCGTGACCCGACCCTCCCCCCTACACAAAGGAACTGGGTTTTGGGGGTAGTTTGGACCACACTCAGTGAGCCTCATGGGCCCAGACCCAAAGCTGGAACCCGGGTCAGCCTTGTGCCTGGCAGGCGCGTTAGCTGCCACACTGCATCTCGCCCCCAAGTGAGCAGAGCTCGGCTGGCTCCTGGGACAGTCTCCCTCCACCCCCTGACACTGGGCAGAGAATCGTCTAGTTTCAGAGTCTGTGCTCGGGACAGCTGCAAAGGCATCGGTCAGCGCAGTCCCCAGCGACGAGACTCGGCAAGAGCTGGAAGGAGGCGAGTGCTCCCGCCACTCCTAGGAGGCCTGGGTGCGCCCCAAAGTCAAGCCCAAGGAAGATCTGGGGCGCGCTGAGAATCTGGGAAGACCCTTGGAGAAGCGTTTCCTGGTGGAGGGAGACCCGGAAGGAACAAGAAGTCGGCTAAAAACCACCCCTCCGGAGCAGGGGTCGTAAATGAGATGGGGCCAGCCCAGGGCCCGCAGCCGCAGGAGCGGGGGAAGCGGGGGTCTGTGCGTACTGGCCACTCGGAGCTAGATTACGGAAAGGTGATCGCGCCTGAGACCCGGGCTGCCACAAGGTGGAGGTTGGAATGTTGGGGCCGGGAGGGGGCGGGGAAGGTGACGAGCTTCCTGGGGTCTGCGGGCCCATGCTGGCGGCATCCTCTTGCCGGTGAGCGGAGAAGCTGCCTTTCGGAGTGTGGGCTGGCAGGGCTCCGTGTAATCAGTGCAGGGAGATGCAGCCGCAAGTGGCTTTCAGCCGACTGGGGGTGTTTCGAGCTGACAGCCCCCGGGAGCACGGCCTGAGGGAGGCCTTCCGGGGCCTGGGCAGAGAGAAGGCAGTCAGCACCAGAGCGGCCGGGCAGAGGGTACGACATTTGCCTTGCGTGTGGTCGATCTGGGTTCCCTCCTCGGCATCCCGTAGGGCGCCCCCAGGAACCGCTCGGAGTGATCCCTGAGTGCGGAGCCAGGAGTGAGCCTGCGATGTGGCCACAAGAGAAAAGAAGGGAAGTGTGTGGCAGGCGCGATGGCAGCCGGGGAAGGGACCTTGACGGGCCGTAGGACTCCGGAGCACTGCGCACTGCGGAGACGACTGTGTCCTGTAGCCCGGTCCATGGTGCTGTTGCTCCCACAGCTGGGATCCACTCGACTTGGCACCGGCCCCTCCATCCTGTTTAGAGACTGGGGGTGCTTATTACATGCATTTTGTTCCCTTTTTTTGTTTGTTTCCTTTTTGGGTCACACCCCGTGGTGCTCAGGGCTCTGCACTCAGGAGTTACTCCTGGCGGTGCTCAGGGGACCATATGGGATGGCAGGGATCGAACCCAAGTCGGCCGCGTGCAAGGCGAACGCCCTCCGCGCTGTGCTATCGCTTTGGCCCGCATTCTTGTTCCTTTGCCCCGTTAGAAACTAATGGTAACTTCCTTAGGCCTGAGCAGGGCCTGTCCGGCCAAGCACAGGGCTCGCTCTGGGGAAAAGCAGCGTGGATCAGAAGCTTGGTTATCTCGGCTTCCCTCTTCGAGTCCTTTCAGAGAAAGTAACTTCCTGGGCGGGGATGGGATGACTTAAGAATTTAAGGTATTGGGGAGCTGGAGCGATAGTACCGTGGAGAGGGCACTTGACTGACTCAGGTTCAATCCCCGGCACCTCATGTGGTCCCCTGAGCCCATCAGAAGTGACCCCTGAGCACAGCCAGGTGCGGCCCCACACCCACAAGAAAGAAAGAAGCGTCCAGAAGCACCCAGTGGGAGTCCCATGGAACCTTTGGGAAGCGTCCGGCTGTCTGGTGCCCTTGGGTTGCTGCTCCCAGGACTGTCATTCCCCCCCCGCCGGGAGGAGGAGCCCTTCGGTGGCCCCTGTGGTCCTGGCAGTAGGGGCCCCTGCTGCAGCCCCAGCGCTGAGGGCAAAGTGCGTGGCATCGAGGGTCTTGGGGTTGGGGGGATTCTGTCCGGAAAATTGATTTATGGTTCTCAGGATGTTTTTCCTCATTTTCTCTGTGATAGAATGCGTCTTGTTGAACTCGTTACTATAGCATTACTCTCCTGACTGCTCAGGTAATGCACTCGAGTTCGTGAGCAAAGGCTTAGAGTCGTTTCGGATGACTCTGAGAAAGAATTGTGTGCGGAAAATCTGGGCTTGAGTTTCAGTCTTTTCTAAAGGGAGGGTCGGAGCATAGCTCGGCGGGGAGGGCGTTGGCTGAGCGCTGCTGGATGTGGCCCCAGAACCAGAGTACTAATGAGCGTGAAGAGCGAGGGTGTGTGGGGGTGGATCGGAGCATTTTCCAGCCCCGCGTGGGTGTGGGGTGTTGTGTTTGCACACGGTGGTGTTCCCGGTGCCGTTTTCATCTTCTCGTTTCCGTCCTGCAGATTCTAACCGGAAGTCTTCAGTGGGTATGAAACGGAACGGCAAGAGCAGACCCTTAGCGCGGCCGCCGATGGCGAGGATCCCAGCTCCCTCCCACTCTACCTCATCAAAGCCAGCTCATGTAAATAATTCCAGGGTACCAAAGAAACTGAAAAAGCCGGCAAAGCCTTTACTCGCAAAGATAAAATTAAGAAATCATTGCAAACGCCTGGAGCCACGGAACGCTTCGAGAAAACTCGAAATGGGGAACTTGGTACTTAAAGAGCCGAAAGTCGTCTTGTATAAAAATCTCCCCCTCAAGAAGGACAAGGAGTCGGAGGGCACGGCCCATGCCGCTGTCCCGAGCGGGTGCTTGACTCGGCACGCGGCGAGAGAACACAGGCAGAACTCGGGGCGGGGCGCCCCGCCGCCCGCCGCCGAGGGCTCGCCCTGCGCTTACATAACCCGGAGGTCCCTGAGGACGAGGATGCACCCAAAGGAGCCCTCTGCCGCCCTGCTGGAAACCCCCGCGGCTGAGGGCGACAGGAGCGACGGGACGGAGGCTGGCCCGGACGAGGCGGCGCAGCCCACCGGCCCGGCCCCGGAGGAGCCGCCTCAGGAGCCCGCGCCCGCGGGGGACGCCGAGCGTGCCAAGAGCGACGGCAGCACCTCCAAGAAGAAGTCGCGGCCGGGAAAGCCGGCCCAGCCGTCGGCGAAGGCGGAGGAGTCGGCCGCGGTACAGGACTCCCCCGGGAAAGCCGGCGGGGCCCCGGACACGGCGGGGTCCCCTGCCCAGCAGGGCGAGCACCCGAGCCCCGAGGGCGCGCCCGGGAGCTACCCGGACTGGGCGCTCTCGCCCGTGGGGGGCTCGGTGGTGCCCTCCGACGGCTTCCAGACGAAGGACAGCTGCAGAACTGCGAAAACGAAGAAGAAGCGGCGCATCACCAGGTACGATGCGCAGCTGATCCTGGAGAACAGCTCGGGCATCCCCAAGCTGACCCTGCGCCGGCGCCACGACAGCAGCAGCAAGGCCAGCGACCCCGAGGGCGACGGCGTGAACGCGTCCAAGATCAGCATCAAGCTGAGCAAGGACCACGAGAACGACAGCAACCTGTACGTGGCCAAGCTCAACAACGGCTTCGGCGCGGGCGCGGCCAGCAGCGCCACCAAGCTCAAGATCCAGCTGAAGCGGGACGAGGAGGGCCGGGCCGCCTACGCCGACGGGCTGCGCGACGGCGGCGGCCTGTGCTGCAGCGACCCGCTGTCCCTGCTGGAGTCGCGCATGGAGGTGGACAACTACAGCCAGTACGAGGAGGAGAGCAGCAGCGCCTCCTCCTCCGAGGGCGACGACGAGGACGAGGACGACGACGACGATGACTTCGAGGACGACTTCATCCCGCTGCCCCCCGCCAAGCGGCTGCGGCTCATCGTGGGGAAGGACTCCATCGACATCGACATCTCCTCCAGGAGGAGGGAGGACCAGTCGCTGCGGCTGAACGCCTGAGCCCGCCCCGTCCCGCCCCGCGCCGCCGCTCGGAGTCCCCCTGTAGAAAGTGTCCCGCCCCCGCCCGTGCGTGTCGTCCCCGCCCTCTCGAAGTCGCCTTCTTACGTGCAATCCGGAGAGGTGAAGCCTGTCGTCCAGCCTGTACAGTGACCGAGACTCCACACGGGACTTCGGAGACAGTCATGTGGCTACTCGATACTTGCGTGTTTCGGTTCGTTTTTTGTTTTTTTCCAACTTCAAGAGCGTGGCTGGCTCTTTAATCTGACTAAACGGTAATCGACAACCAATCATAGTAGCAGCATATTAACGTTTTCTAGGATATGCTAATATCACCAGCAATGATCTTTGGCTTTTTGATTTCTTTGCTAGATGTTTCGCCCCCCCTGGAGTTTTGTCGGTTTTAGTTTGCTGGCCCCGGTGCGCCCTCGGCGGCCCTGCGGGAAGGGCGGCCGTCGCGGGCAGGCAGAGCAGTTTGGGGAAACAAAATAACTTTTGTTTCCTTACTAACAAAAGTCCCAGTCCGCGCGTGACCGCCGACTTTCCAGTACGTTCTATGTACGGGGTCGCCATGTGCAGGAAGAGTTAACACGCCGCGTATTTATTGCTTGTCATGTAAATGAAAGACCTTGTATTTAACACTTTTCAATCCTTTTAGATAAAAAAAAAAATTGTTCTTTGCAAGAATGATTGGTGCTTATTTTTTCAAAAATTTGCTGTGAATAATGTGATGACAACAAGCAACATTTATCTAATGAACTACAGCTCTCTTCATTTGGGTCTTCAAGTTTTCTGTTGCACTTGTAAAATGCTACAAGGAATATTAAAAAGAAACTATTCACTTTAACTTATAATAGTTTATGAAATAAAAACATGAGTCACAGCTTTTGTTCTGTGGTAACCTATAAAATGTTTGTCTTTGGGATTCAGTGTAAGAACTGAGACGATGTATATGTTGTAAATATTTGTGTGTTGTGAGAAATTTTTGTCCTAAGAAATTAAAAGAACTTACCAGGAAGGTTTTTAAGTTCAGAAATATTCATGCCAATAAAATAGGAATTATAAATATATAGTTTTAAGCACTGCATCAGTGGGCGTTCTTGGTTTATGTTTATGTATGAAAATATCAAAGATTTTTTGACTATATTATCAGTTAAACGAAAAGAGGAGTCAGATTTAATTTGTTTTTGAAGCACTTTGAGAAGAGAAATTAATTTTAAGTAACTTAATGAGCAAATTTTTGATTACTACTTGATGTCCAATACCAACCTCTCGTTTTTCTGCATTCTTTTACAAATCATTGGACAAGCAATTTGGGGATATCAATCTGTAACGGGTGTTTGACGCCAGTGGGTCTCTTTGTTTCTGGGAAATGTGTACGTGTGCTTTCAGCTAGACCGTGTTCCTGAGTAAAACCAAGTTAGGGGATTCATGTAGCGTGTCTAGGAAGGGTTAGCCCCTGTCTTCAAACATTAAAGAATCTTCAGGTCATGAAAAAAGTCCAGTGCAGAAAACCTCAATGCTTCCGCTTAGTACTGATGGATTCTTAACCGTGTCCAGGTTTGGGGACAGCGTTTCAATTAAGTTCCTTAAAGCGATTGTTCGTCGTAGTTCCAGGTAGAAATTAGTATTAGTCACGAAAGGTTTTTACATTTAGAGTTGTTTTTGCCTTTTTTCTTCAAGGAATTCTTTCTGTAGCCTCCCGAGGCCTCATTCCTGTTTGCTCCGGGCAGTTCAATCCCTCAGGTAGTAGTTTGGGGGCCTGTGGCAGGCTCCCCCACCCCACCCCACCTCCCCCTCGGGCCCGCGGCCCCCACCCCCCTGCTGCCATGGCTTTGCGTGCAAGTGTGAGACTTGGCGCCGCTCAGGAAGGTCCCGCCTCGGCCGTGGTGTCTGGCAAGGCCCAGCGGAGCCGCGGGTCACCTCTCCCCCCGCCCCAAGATCGGGGTGTCCGGAAGAGGTTCCAGGACGAAGTTTGTCGGCGGACCTGCCGTCCATCCACGTTTATCAGTAGCATGTTCAGTTCCAAGGGAAAAGTAGCAGAAGATCCCTCCCGCTCGCCCCGTAGCTAAGCTTCATCTTAGTAACTTATTTATGGCCTTTGTTTCCACTCTGGGGAGGGGGCCTCGCTCGGAGGCCGCCCCGTGGGTCCAGGCAGGGGAGTTGGTGCTGCCCTGCCTGGGGTCTGTGCACAAGCGCCCGGCAGCCGCCGGCGCCTCCAGGGAACCTCATTTCCGTTGTCCAGTTGGGGGCCCAGGAGCTGTGGCAGCCCCGCTCCAGACTGTCGCGGCGGCCGGGCTCGGAAGAGGTCGCAGTCAGTAAAACGTAGCTTGAACTTATGCAATGATTGGTGAAGAGTTTGGCGTTGTCAGAATTAGGAAATGATCGTAGAACTCTCTGTAAAAATACTCAATTTTCAAATCATTTTTCAAATTGCTGTTTTAAATTGTTTTGCTGAGTTGTAATACTTTTGAGATACAATGTATTCCTTGTACTGAAAGAATGAAAAAAAAAAGGATTTTTTCAGCATTTGAGGTAAGTTCTTTAACGTTTCATTAAAAACATTTTTTACAAATATTTTGTACATGCACTTGCAGTATTGAGGTTAATCATTTTAATAAATTCGGAAATTAAAAACAGCCTGGCCGGTGTTCACTGTATCCGAGAAGGTGGGGGGTGGGATTTCTGGTTTCTCTAGCCCAATCACTGCATCCCCCCCCCCCGCACTGGGGGGTGAGTTTGGCTGTGGGGAAGAGGGGCTCCAAGGTGAAGGAGGGACTTCCGATAAGCAGACCCAGCCGTGCAGACTAGAAGCTTCGGTGGGGTGGTGCAGAAGGGGAGGAGGGAGGTGGCTTGAGGCACACAGGATGGTCCCCTGGGGGAACAAGAGGTGCTTGATGTGAGGGTGCCAGTCGCTGTGGTATGTAGTGGAAGGCTCACGGTGCTGAGGGCCCTGGGGGGGGGGTGGTTAGACGGGAGCAGCGAGAAAGCCTGGGGGTGCACACAGGCTGGGTGAGGTGCCGAGGTCAGGGCAGCCGAGAGCTTCCGGACCTCAGGACGGGGACAGGACCCGCGGGTCTTGAGGGGAAATCAGTCAACAGGTGACATGACCAACCCCCTACGCTGCCTTCAGGAAACCCCTCGTGGTTTCCTGGTCCACGGGCAGGTGGTGGGTTGGAAGGAGACCCGATATTTTTTCACGTTTGGTTTGTTTTTATGTTTGGGGACCACACCCAGCAGCTTTCCGGGCTCAGTCCTGCTCTGTACTGAGGAGTTAACTCCTGGCAGGACTCGGGACCATGTGGGGTCCTGGGGATCAAGCCCAGGTTGGCTGCCTGCAAGGCAGATGCCCTCCCTACTCTACTTTTGCTCTGACCCTTTTTTTTTGGAGGGGGGGTTGCACCCAGCGGTACACAGGGCCTGCTCCTAGCTCTGTGCTCAGAGATCAGAGATCCTGGTGATGCTTAGGGGATGCCAGGGATCGAACTCAGGTCAGCCGCGTGCCAGCCCCACCCCTATAAGTGAGGCCCCACCCCTACTGAGGCCTCACTCAGGCAGGGTTCACTCGCAGGTTCATTCCGGCCTGCTCCCCGGTGGCGGTGGCGGGCAGCCACTGCCTGTACCCCTCGTTCTGAGACTGTCAGGTGGAGCCTGGAGACCTCGGTGCCACGGTTGGCCGATAAGCGCCACCCGCCCCAGTTAGGCAAACAGCGGGCGCTGGAGCAGGCGTCCCGGGAGGCAGGTGTGTCCTGAGGGGAGACAGAAAACTCGGGTGGGCTCGGCGGCCGGGGGCAGTTTGGGTCCCCTCCAAAGTACAGAGTGTCCCAGGGGGCCAGGGACTTGCAGGAAGGCCCATTCCGGGAACGGCTCAGCTTTCCTTGGGAAGTGGGTGACGCCCAGTCCAGGCCCGCGGGCGCTGACGGGAAGCAAGTGGCCTCCCCCCAGCGTCAAACCCAGAATGAGGACAGAGCCGCACCAGCTGTGCCAGCCTCCGCTGGGCACATGAGCCAGGACATGGCTGGCAGTGCCCCCAGCCCCCAGGCTGCTGGGAGCCAGGTCCTGGCCCCTCCTAGGCTCTCCAGGATCTCTGTCCTCTGACTTCCGTCCCACTTAGTACGGAAGGGTGTCAGGCTTCCCACGGTCCCAGGAGTGACTCTGACTCGGCCCCTTCCCTGTCACCGAGCAGGTGGGCCGAGGTTTGTGAGAAGCAGAGAGAGAGAGAGAGCAGAAGAGGGAGTTCCCCTTCTTCCTGCTGGGAAAATCACAGCCGGCTTCAAGGAGGAAGTGCTGGCAGGAGACTGCACTGGGCGAGGCGCGCTTGCCTTCTTTGATCCCTGGAACTGCTTTTTTGGTTTGCTTTGTGGTTTGGGATTTTTGTGGTTTTGCGGTTTGCTTTGTGGTTCTGTGGTGACAACCAGCAGTGTTCCAGACTAAACTAAAGTGATAAGATAGTGGGGAGGGTGTTTGTCTTGCAGGCTTTTGACCCCTGGCATCCCATATGGTCCCCTGAGCACCGCCAGGAGTGATTCCTGAGTGCAGAGCCAGGAGGAACCCCTGTGCATCGCTGGGTGTGACCCAAAAAGGAAAAAAAAAAGGAATGAGCAGCTCTGGGGGAGAGGGGGATTGTGGGGATACGAAGGGGCCAGGTGGGGCCCTGGGGGTGTCCACAGGACAGGGAGGGAGGAAGGGAGTTAGGGTACGCCAGGTAAGGGACTAGGGCCCCAGTGGGGTGTTTGCTCTGCAGCACAGCCAACCCGGGTTCGATGCCCAGCACCCCATATGTTCCCCGAGCCCACCAGGAGTGATCCCTGAGCACAGAGCCAGGAGTAAGCCCTGAGCACTGCTGGGTGTTGTGTGCCCCCCTCCCCCCGCAAAAAAAAAAAAGGAGAAAATCCCTAGGGACACCCCTGTCCCAGCCCTTCCTGCCAGAGCCCAGCAGCCCAGCCTCCTGTGGACAGGTACGTCCAGTGGAGGGAGAGGAGGCCCCTCGGTAGGCAGGAGGGCAGGTGGCCACCCCTTGG